CAAGAATGTTGATTTCTACTTTAATATTTACAAATAGAAGAGCATGCAAACGCAAAAGAAATCGTTAAATCGAAAATTTCAGTTGTCTGATTATTCTTTTAAAAGATATGTTCCAAGCACAAAGCTTTTTGAGTAGCAGAGATTTCCACGCATGTTGTACATAATCTCTTAACCACTTGTAGAATTTTTACATATAGAGATGCATCAATTAAAAATTTGTTTCGTATAAACCATTAATAGGAGTATCGATTTATTCTAATAAATGATTAATGTGATATGCCATTATTAGGACAAATAAGAGATTAATCGAAACAATTGAAACAAATGTCTATAAAATTGAGGATTTTATCTTTTCGAACGCATCCAACGCAAGTGTTTTACCCTCACCATCATCCTGGGATTCATCAGTCTTCTACAATTGTATCATATCAAGATCTATTTTCTCTTATCAATCGTAACTTTATTGCATAACGATTGACTTGTCTAGTGTTTTTCTAACAAATACGCATATCGATAACAACATAAAGGAAAAGTTAGAATACAAACATTTTCTCTAAACACTTGCAAAATTTTTCTTCTCGTTATTTTTTGTTGAGAGGGAGGGTGTGGGTGTGTGCAGGTGAACAGATACAATGCAACCACACCCACATCCACCTACACCCACACTCACGCCCACATCCACCCACAACCACACCCCACACCCACATCCACATCCACACCCACACACACCCACACACCCACACCCTTACTTCTATAGCATTTTAAAGAGCTTTATAGTGAAAGATGATAGTATAGAGGAGCAGAAAAGGTCAGTCAGTGCTGAAAACGAATGATATCGTGAATGAACGACAGATATGAGAATAGAACCAAAGGAAAAGAGAGAAAGAGAGTGAAACTGAGCGATCAGATCGGTTTTAATTTTTTTATAAGAACATTAAATCACAGGAATGATTTGTTGTACCTTCTCTTAGGTTGAAGATGAGTTAAGTATTGACACAGCTCAATCAAAGTTAACCAATATCAGGAAGACTGCCCGACGTGTTTTGATTCTACAAGAAGTATTGCCCGATGGATTTCATTTCTCTGTACTCGTTCAAGTATCTATATTTGAGCCAATCCATCTAAGCCACGACCCACTAGGCACAGACCTTGCTCAATCGAGGTCTGCACATTTTACTCAATTTAAGATGTATTATAGAGAGAAGAGTTCTAAGAATTTTGCCGCAAACCTTTTTGAAAAATATCGATCCCTTGAATTTTTATGAACATTTTATGAAAAGCCCTAAAATGACCATATTCGTAAACGGGGATCTTGTTGCAGCAGTCTCTCAAAAATACCACAACCAATTCAGCTGAAAGTTCTTATTCATGTATACCTTAGGGATTTCTGTTTTCCATAAAATTTTTATTTCGAAATATTAGAGCCTTGGGATTTTATGAAGTACCCAAAATATGAAAAAATGAAAATTTTGTCTAAGTTTGTTTATTCAAAATTTTTGATTGGAGTTAAATAGATGTATAATCCTTTATGGTAGATAGAGCACTGACAGTTGTAGTTAACTTGAAGATTTCAGTTGTATATGTTGTTTTGTTTGATCATGGGAGCCTTCTGAAAAATAGAGTTTTGAAAAAATCTCGCTTTTGCGAATCTACTATTTCCTAAAATATGGATCTCTGGGAGAGTTGATATATTAGGATTAGAAGTACTCACTGTCGGATATAACCCTATAGAAAAATTAGCCTGGGTGTGGATGTGGGTGTAGGTGTTGGTGTCATTTAGAAGATTTCACACATCCCCACACCCGTCTATTCAAGGATGAAAGTATCTGTATCGAAGGGAGGGTGTGGGTGGGAGTTTTTCATTCTCTGTATACACACACCCACATCCACACCTACCGACATCCAGCTCCACACTCATACCCTTCGCTGATCTTGGATACTTTTAGAAAATTTCTAAAGCTAACTTTGACAATCATGTTGAAATTTTTTATTTTGCGAATCGTAAAAAATGCTTTCTGATTTATTATGAATGTCAATCCGTCTAGTAGATAGTTCTTATCGAAGAATACTCATGAAAGGTTTGTTATATTCTTTATCATTATATATATGACTTCTCCATCATAGAATATTCATGGTAAAAACGTTTAAAGATACCTTTTGATTACTTTTAATATTCTTTTACTTCACAAATATTATATACACAATTAACTCATTTATTAAAAATTGGTCCTATCTAATCTTATGTGAAGAATTCGAAATTTATTTTTAACAAAGATTCAACCAAGTTATTCAAATTCATTTCATAAAAGAATTTATTCGTCATTCGTGATTTATTGTGTTTTCTTTATTGAAATTTCCATGGAACTAAAGCTAATGCATAGAGCCATTGGCCTGCTTTTTTTGAGCTATCATTCCATAACGATTCGATTGTTGTTAATTGTCCATCATTGTCAAGTATTGAACGTTCAAGATAGGCTTCTTCTGATCGACGACCACGACACCAAAATATATACCGTTTGTTATCAGAAGGATCTACTCCAATCGCAACACCATATGGGCCAACGAAATTAGTTTCGGCCGAAGATGAGTATACTAATTTTTCTTGACTGCCATCAGCATACGCCATATAAAGACCACCATCAAATGCCAAATAGACGCGAGGATTTGTAGGATCGAAATGATTATCAAGTGCAATTTGAAAACCTAATTTTTTATTATTTAAATTTAAATATTGCGTTATATTTTGTAATTCGGTCCCATCTGGACGACTACGCATTAGTTGTACACCAGAGAAATATATCCAATTATTGATTGAATCATAGATTAGACCACGCGTACCTGCTGATCCACCAACGTGATCGAGTAAAATAGTTTGTTTCTTCGTAATTAGATCAACTTGATAAATATGTTGATGAGCATCGGTATATAACATTATATTTTTAGTCGGTAAAATAACGACATAATGACAACTATTAAGATCTGTAGCTAATATCGAAAAAGAATGACCATTTGAAGATAACAGTCCACTTTTACTCATCAAACCGATAGCAATATTTTCATAGTTATTTGCAACAGTAATACCAGCAATACCGAAACCCATATCGCCGGTAAGATTTCTCCATTGCCAAAAGCGACCTGAAGAGGAGTTCATCAATCTTCCCTGTAGAATATTACCAAAGTTACCCATTGATTGTGATACGATCAGACTTTGATATGGAACATCCTTGGAAGTACGCAGTGATGTTGATAGAGAAAACAGTAAGAAGAATGGAAATATTATCAATGCACTTTTCATTATTCACAAATTAGTCTTGATATTCTAGAAAATAGATATAACAATGTACAGCATGATGTATGGATATTGAGAGTATATTTAATATTTTTATAGTTAATTTATAATTAAAAAGAAAAAAAATGTGATATGCAAGCTCCGAACAAAAATCCTTGTTAAATTTACACTCACATAAAAATAATAATATGTAAGTCATCCATTTTTCTTTGAAGAGTCGAAAAATACAAAATCTTTTCGAATTGAATCCTTTAGGACTAACTAAAAGATCTATTCAATAACTAACCTATTGCAGTGCAAAAACTCATTGAAAAACAAAAAAAACAAGGAACTTTGAGTCATGTCGAGATTCAACCTAAGTGTTGTTATTGAAGCCGGTAAGATTGAATCTGCTTTACGTGAAGAAAGAATATCATCACAAATCTGAATTCTTAATTAGAAATTATTTGCTCCAACAATTTTCTGTCAAGAGTCTATCGTACAACACTTGCACATTTTCTGATTCAAAAAAGCGTCTTATTTCGGCGTTTCAGGCTGTTTGATATTCATCTTGTTACTCAAGTAACCTATCGGTATGAAAATGGTAGAAATATGGTCGTTCATGGCTTAGTCGAAGTATATTAAAAATTCAAAGCTTATCTACACAAATAATGAATACTTTTCTATTTTAAAAATATTACATGCGCCTATTTCTCACCTGTTTTTCAGTTAATAATAACGCTATGGTTCCTCTGACGAGTAATATGAGTATTAGTCGCATTCAGGAGAACAAGGCATCGTAGATAATAGAGGCAAAAATATAGTTAATCCTTCAATTACACAAGGCTAAAAGAAAAGTAAGAATAAAAACTTGCGTGGACAGAAAGAGCACTACAGTTACTCGGTTAATAAGTGAAGCGATAATATCGCGCGATTATCAACGAGATTTTGGAAATATAAAGCATTTATTGAACACAAATTAGGAGCAAAACTAATGATCGATTAGCCAACAAAAAATTAGCTTTTTATTAAGGAAAAAAAATCATTCGAAGCCATTTCAATAGTTGCAAATAGTTTCGAATGCCTTGAGATGACAAAATTTTCTTTGCTTTAAAGTCGAGTTTCTAAATCTTGACAACGTCAGAACGGTTATTTTAGGATGTTGATTCTGTATGACAAAAATGTATTTAATCGTTTATCTCAAATTTAATGAATTATTAAATTTCCAGAAGACATCCAAGAAAAATAATTGGAAGATTTCATTTGCTTGTAAAGTAAGTGGTAGTTTTCTTAGAAGTTACGTTCTGCACTTTGCTCTCGAGGTTTTTATGCGACTACATTTGAATAGTGAGTTGTTTGAATATACGAAATGAGACAAGTAGATCTCGAAGATTTTTCTTATTATGAGAAAAAACTAATACTTTTAAGAATAGAGTCATTTTCAAAGAAAACACAAAAACATGTGTAATAGTTAGAGATTTTGATTATCAAAAGCTGCTTTATTTTGATTTATTGAGGTCTCTTTAGACAGAAGGCGAATGATGCAGTTAAGTTCTTGATGAATATTTTGTGATGCTTTGATGTCAATGTCACTAAGTTTTTATGCACTCGAAAGTGTTTTTCGAATTTTGGTATGTAATCGATTTACGAACCTTGAAGTAAAAGCAAAAAAAAAAACACACGAAACAAAATTTCAATTCGTAATGGAACTTCATAACGATGGTATCATGGAATGATTATACAACAACATCAATTATTTTATACAAATTATTCAATTGAATGGAATGAATGTCATCTATCAATGATGAGTAAACTAGCTTCGTGGACAACAGATATTCTTAATCAATCTCAAGGTGATTCATTAGCTCAAATCCAAAGACGATGGTTTTCATGAGAATTGAATTATCGATTAGATATATTTTCTGATAAAGTATTAATACCTGAATCAATTTATTTACTTGAGCTAGCGGTAATGTATCGATGCAGAAATGGCTGAAAAACATTTACATCTGCGCACCGGATTCAAATCAATTTGAGGACGATTGAACATGTTTCTTTAATAATATACGCAACTTCGTTCGATCGATCGTATCATTCATGGTCGAAGTTCTCGCACAATGAATTTCTGTTTTTCAGTTGTTTTAGAGCGATTAGAGTCTGTTAAAAATTGAGAATTTGAGCTGCAAATATTGAAAACTTTTTTAAAGCAAAGATTAACTGATCTTTTCAGTGATTGATGCTTTATATGCATATTTTGCTCTTACCCTCAACATGGCCCTGCGTAAATTCAACCAACTTCTAAAAAATCATTTGATTTCTGAAAAACTAATAAAAGGCACCATGTAAACTGAACTTGTTAGACAAACGGTTTATGAAACATTACAGTAATTGGCTCTGACAGTCAGTTTATATGAAGCCACAATTAATCTGCTACAGATTTAACCTTTGACGTTAAAGTCTTGACTCCGTGCTAGTAATAGATAACAACTTTTAACCTGAATCTCAGCTAACTGCAACAGTTTCGAAAACATCTCTAATAAGGGATATTCCCAATTCGCTTGTTGGCCATGAATATGGATAAAAAATGGCCACATATTATGTCATTTGTTGCTAAGACGGTCTTTTCTCTTTCATCTACATTTCTCTGTTTTTCAATCGCTTCCATAGCATAGG